TCCATCCTATCCATACGCCATCTTGTGGCCTTTTTTCAAATGGCACGTTGAGATTTTACTAACTTTCGTTGAGTACAACTTTGTGACAATTTAAGCAAAGTAAACTTATTTTTTGACAGTCATGTTGTCTTTTGAGTTACAGTTCTTCATAATATTAAGAAACTGACCTAAAATCATTATTTTGTATTGCTTTGGAAAAAATGTGATCTGCCCCTTTAAGAAAAAGTATTGGTAATTGGTATCGGCGAGTACTTAAAAAAAAGTATCGGTACTCGTACTCAGACCCAAAAAAGTGGTATCGGTGCATCCCTAGTATCGAATGAACTCCAGTTATACTGGTAATTACTCTAGAGTAGATGTATGCACTGATCCTGCAGCCTGGTTGGCTGTATAGGGAAACATCCATTTAACAGCACTGTGAAGAAAACATAGGAAACCGGCGCACCGATCTAAGTGCAGTATAGAGTCACTATTTAATAAGGTTAAAAGTAATGCACTTGCAGGATATTAAAAAACATCTCGCCTTTCATTAGATGAAAGTCCCATCTCAGCTGCTGGTCTGAGATTGCTATCAGGATATTGAGGCCCAGGCACTGGATCAGACCTGTGTCTTCCAGCACAGGCGTCCTGGGATCTTCCTGCTCTCTCCATATCCTGATGGCAATCTTGGACCAGCAGCTGAGATGGAACTTTCATCTGATGCGTGACAGACGATTTGTTTTTTAATATCCTGTAAGTGCATTACTTTTAACCTTATTAAATAGTCTCTTTTATACTGCACTTAGATCGGTGCGCCGGTTTCCTATGTTTTCTCCATAGCTACAGTGGAGGAGTGAGATTAGCCACCCAGGGAGAGAAAGTCTGCTAATGGCAGGAGTATAGGTGAAAATAACTGGTACAATAGTGCCTGAAAAGAAAACAAATGCAGCCACCATTTCGAAGGACCAGTATGCTGCAGTATAAGTAAATTTTTTTGGGTTTAGTTACAATTTAAAGATTGTTGGCTCCTAATGTAAATGTGGGCGAGTCAAACGGCCTATGATGAAAAATGCATAAGCGAACGCAAGTATATAAACTACTCTTACAGCAAACAGTTCAGATCTACTGTATCTTTAGATTTGGAGATCATTTTTAAAAGTACAGCTTGGCTTCTTACCTAATCCTGATCTCTGCTGATCTGAGATCAGTTTTGTGACTTGCTCAACTACATTTGAAAACTGCACCTAAAGCAGAAGTAGTTTGATGCTGTTGTTTGCCGGGATTGATGTCAGATAGATAGTATATTAGTATACGTGTACTATTGATGCCAGAATTTTATATACAAGACCATGTGATCTTTGCAGGAAGAATCATCAAATTTGAATGTTTGCAAACTGCTCCTTCATTCTGATGCTTTGGTGCTTTTGTAGTGAAGTATTTCTTGTCCTTTTGAGGGACACCTGAAGTCTTTAAATTTTCAGGTTATACTGCTGCCTTTAGGAGGACTGGCTACTGGCAAACAAACTGTAGGCCAGCCGAGGACAACCCCTTCCACCACCAACCTGCTTTGGTTTTTTTGCTAGTGTCCTAGAATTATTTTTTTTCTTAAGGACTCTTTACATCATTGCAAGAGCTTGTTTCTTCGATCTGCTATCTAGCCTAGCTGTCCTCATCCTGGCTTTTGGAGTACTGTATCTGTTACTGGTTGATTGGACGTTGCGTAGATAGCCTGGAAATTACCTTAGGACACTGGGTTCTTCCTAGGCCGCTTTCCAGACTCTGTGCTGCTAAGAGTTCTTTCTAGGTCCAGAGCCACTGGCATCACCTCAGAGCTTGCCCTGTCTCCAAAGACTCCCTTTTTGAGTAGTCTGATCGGGTGGAGCACCTGAAGCTACCTTTAATTTCATAGGTTAAAATACCCTGTTTCCTGCTGGTTTCCACTGTGAAAAGGGTTAACTCTGTGGAACTGAACACTGATGTTATCTGCTGGGTTGAGTGTTGTGTGCGCTATGCTCTTTCCCACCATTCACTGTCGAGAACCATTTCCCTCCTGCTTCCGTGGAACCATGTGGAATTTCGATTTTCAATCTGTTCTTTCAGTCTGTCAACAGTGACTTTGGTCACCTCTGGCCACGTGACCCTCACCTGCTACCAGAGATCCAGGTTTCCATATTGGTGGAGGATGTGCCTTTCTTTAAGGTCCCAACTGATGTCCTCTCTAGAACTCTTTTTTTCTGCTGGTGGGCCCTGCCCTTCACTCTTTATTGGCTGGGACCTTACTTTAAACTATGGCTGGTCAAAATCCATGAAGGGATCTCACTTTGTTGATCCTTAGATGATAGAACTAATGAAGCAACGGGCTTTAGCTTTAAATTTCAATTGTGACGGTCTGCCGGAAGCTTTCTGGCTTATCTTTCGCATAAGTTTAATGTCCATACAGATGCATAGGGCACTTGGGTCAAAGTACAGGACTTCTGGACCCACATGTCAAAAGCATTTGAGTCACATGCCAGTAGTAAGAATATCCATCTTCCCATGGGGAACAAGCCCTAAGAATTCGATTGCAAAGTCTTGTCCATCTTTAACTATTAAGAAATCTAATTTTGGTTTCTCCACTCCTGTGCCCTCCACATCAGACCCTAGAAGCTTGTTCCTAGTCCAACTGCAAGGTCTGGCACTTGGTCTGCCAAATCTTCAGACAAACCTTCCTTGGCATTAAGGTACTGAGTGGGGGATATGTTTTGTTAAAGGAGTTCCAAAGTCCCAGCATACACAATCCTGATATAACATCATTGTAATATGAATATATACTAGATTTTATTTTTGATGCATTCAAAGCTTACTTAAAATCTTTTTATGCAGCGAGTGCGGCCTTCCATCTGCTCATCACTTTAAACAACTTCCTGGATTCTTAGTGTGCTTTGCGTCTTTTCCCCCGCTGCTTGATGTGATTCAAGCTCAATTTCTCAAGGCTTCGTTGCCAATTATGCATTCCTTCCAGCATGCAATAATCAGATTTGTTCAGAGGACAGGCGCTGTGAGTTGTGACACAAGAAAGTGAGTTTTCAGAAAGTACATCTTATGGGCATCTTCAATAAGTTTACAGACTTCTAGATGAATATGGTTATTAGGAGTGGGATAGAACTTGCGTTTAATTAAATATAGAAATACATATTTTAGTGTTTTACCATAGATGCCCATAACCTTTTGCAGATGCTTGCATCTCAAAGCCTTGGGAGCAGGAAGTGGTATTCTAGGGATACAAACTGAGGTTTCACTCCCTGCCACCTCCTCTTGCCTTTAATCTTCCTTTTGTCAACACAGATTAACAGATCTCCATGGAGCCCTCTGATCTTCTGGATCAATGTGTCATTGTCCAAGTTCCTGTGACAGAATCATTGCAAGGATTTTACTGCAACTTTTTTACCATTCCCCTGCCCCTTCTTAAATCTCAAAGCTCCAAAAGCCTTAATTTGAGCTCAGAAATTGCACATGGAATTTACACGGCCTGTCATTTCCCCTGTTTGTTCACCAGGGATGTTTTCTGGCTTCTGTGAAGCATCAAGGATGTGTACCCACATGTCCCCATCTTTCTATCTCATCGGTGGTTTTTGCTGCAGGGCTCATGCAAAAGCCGGGTACCTGCCCTTGAGCCTCTCGTCTGCACCTTGGGGGTGTTCATCGAAGCGTTGGCTTCATTATTAGCCAGATCTTATAAGTCAGAGTTTATAGTTTTCATGGCATGATGATAGTGGGGGGGGGTTATCCTGGGCTGGCCTACATTTCTTTGTTTGCCAGTGTCCAAACCCTCATGTACGTGCAAGTTCAACCTGAAGATTGAATACTTCCTGTGTACCTAAATGGTTTTACGGTGAGTACAAAACTTATTTTTTTTAAACTTTTTTTGTCCCCAAGGCATGTTTTTGTGTAATGTCTTTGCTTTAGACAATATTGAATCACTTGGAAAACTGCTCCTAACTTTTTTTTGTTTTTTTTCATCCCCCCCACATTTTGTTTTCAAGGTGTGTCAACTACTTTGCCAGCTACATCCTTTCCAGCTTCTCTACCAGCTTCCCAAGCGGAACCACAAGGTAGGATATCCAATCTTGTATATCCTATTATATGAAATACGTTTTTGTATTTGCTGCCATAAGATTAAAAACTTTTTTTTTAATTATTTCTTTAGGGTTATGTAAAAATGAGAATTATGTTTTTTTTGTTTTTTTTAAATCAGGTTTTGGAAAGTCGTCCTTTTCTTCGGAACCTTCATTTCCACCTGTTAAGTTTGGACTGCCGCCATCAAGTGAAACTGGAGAACAAAAATCAAGTTCCTCCACTGACTCGAGTTCAAATACAAATAAAACTGGCTTTTCTTTCACATTTGGTCAAAGCTCTAAGACATTAGATGAGAAGAAAGACAAAGATGTAACTTTTGGAACTGCCACAAGCAACACTGTTTCAGCGCCTTTTAAGTTTGGCTTTACTAGTTCTGCTCCTGCAGAGAAGGATGGTGCTGCTAAACCTTTGACAACTGACTTTCAATTTGGAACCAAACCTGAGAGCTCTAGTAATGCTAGCTTACTTGGCCTATCTGCCAAGGAAAAATCTGACATCACACCAACATTTGGTTTAAAGAAACCAGAAGAGAAAAAAACTGACACTCCTGTGGCTGGTGGATTCACATTTGGTAAAGTAGACCAGAAGGAATCTGCTTTACCCTTTGCTTTTGGGAAAAACGACGAGAAAACCGAATCTACACCAACGGTTACCTCCTCCTTATTTGGCTCCAAAAGCGATGCAGACCAGCCAAAGTCCTTTGTATTTGGTAAACCTGAGGCAGGCAAGGCTGATGCGTCAGAACTAAGCTCATTTGCATTTGGGGCGCCAAACCCTACGGAAAAGAAGGAAGCAGATCAGCCAGCAAAACCAGTCTTTTCTTTTGGCTCTTCTGCCACAGGTAAGAGCTCATTTCTGGGTGGATTACTCACCTGAGATCTAAGAACGAATGCAGATTGTGGCTTTGTTGTCCATCATTCCCACAGGATTATTGCCATAATCCTCTGCTCAAATCAACTCCTTCGTGACTGACGACTTACAGTGTACGTCGCCAGCATCGGGGCTGTTTAAACAGACTCCCGGCGACTTTTGCCGCCGGGACTCTGTTTAAACTTGTAGAGCAGACTGTCTGCTTTACAACAGAAGCGACTCTGGCAACTTACCTGTCGCCAGATCGCTTCTGTGTCC